ACACACGAAATACACTCTCGATTTTTGGTGGTAAGCACCACCAGGGGCGGATCTACGTATGGGCTCTTTGGGCTGCAGCCCAGGGCCCCGTGGATACAAAGGGCCCCAGTCCCCACTGAAAACAATAGGTGATATTTTGAATTAAAAAAAATATCTAACATTAAAAAAAAAGAAAAAAAAACTATTGTAAGGTTGGCAACCTTGAGATCAATCAACCCATGCATCTATCGAACGGAATGGCGAATTCCCCGTCGCTTGTTTTTGGTCAGTGTATATTTTCGCGTCTATTACGGGGGACTTCCCGCCGCACCGCTTAACGCCCGACGTAATTTTTTTTTTCTTCCGCACTTCTGTTCTCGTCGTCAAAGGGACAAACTTGTTTAGTTTACTAATGAATGATAACCTTAAAGTTATAAAGACCGGACCTTTCTCTTATTTTACTTATAATTGACTATATTGGTGTTCAGCAAGAGGACGGTAATACCGAGGCGGAAAGAAATTTAGAGAATATTAAGTTTGAGTCTGAGAAATATGTTGACGTGGGCTTGTGGCCAGAATTTCTAAATAATGATTTTATTTATGACATTTTCTCACATGAAATGACTGACTTTCAAAATAAAGATCCGAAAAATATTTTTTCAGTTTCAATAAAGAAATACAAAGAACAAAACAGAACATTTTCAAATAGGTACTCCATTAAGAAAATGAAAAAGGGTCAATCACTGGAAAAATCTTGGTTATGTTATTCAACCAGGGTTGGTACTGTTTTTTGTTTGACTTGCAAACTTTTTTCTAAAATCCCTTCTCAATACACAACCGGATTTACCGATTGGAAACACATAGGAACTTGCTTAGAAAATCATGAAAATTCTAATGAACATAAGAAATCAATGTTAGTGTGGTTGACACTAAAAGAAAACAGATCTGTTTTAGACAAGCAGCTTCTGAAGCAATTAAGAAAAGAAACAGAATATTATCACAATGTCCTAAAACGGGTTATTGCTGTGGTGAAATTTGTAAGTAAAAGGGGCTTAGCATTTAGAGGTTCCGAAGAAGTATTTGGTTCTCCAAATAATGGTAATTTTAGGGGTGCTCTGGAGCTATTGGCAGAGTTTGATCCATTCATTCGTGAACACATTGATCAACGAGAGCTGCGACCAAAACCGATAATATCGTACTTATAAAAAACAGTATAAGAGGAAATAATTGAGATTATGGGCTGATAGATAATTAAATAAATTATAACTCAAATAAATAACGACGACACAAAGTATTATTCAATTGTGATGGATTGTACTCCAGATCTACATATCTCACAATGATCAACTTGCTATTGT